TTACGAGAAATCAGGCAGATTTTCAGACAATTTGGTAAGAAACAAGCCCTGTTTACCAACCCACTCCGGGTTCCCACACTCACATTCCTCCCAAGCAAATTACAGAACAAATTGGGGGGAGGGGGAGAGGAGAGAAAAGCAGTAATTTATGAAAACATGGTATACCATAATTTTGCCATTTTTCTGCAATAAGGATGGCAAATGATTCATGGGGAAAAATGAAATATATTTCACTGTCAGTTCAGTAGATCTAAGATTTACAGCTTCTTGACTTGGACAGGAAAAACTCAGCTTGCATAAAAATGAATTGCAGATCAGTTAATTGCAGATATGCAAAAATAAAACCCGAATCTGGGCGCTTCAGTAAAATAAACTGAGCAACAATTTAGAAGCGAGAAAATTAAAGGCAGCGAAGTCCTGTGTTTATTCTGGGGAGGGCGGGAGGCTGCCTTTGTGAGGGACCTTCGAATCGGGTTACACCGGCCCAACTCCCTTCACTTTGTGTCAGTTTTACTGATCAACCTAATTACATTTACATCAGTTGGACAAACAGATTACGGTATCTTGGCGAGGCAGAACCAAGTTTGCCTTCTTTAGTTAAATAAAGCCTATGGAGGAGACGTAGTGACAGGCGCCCAGCCCCGGCACTGCCCTGTCGCAGACATCTGCCCCGAGCAGGCTCAGCCCCGCTGCACCCGGGGCTCAAAAAATCACAGCTGCCACCGAGTAAAACCAGCCCCAACCTGCCGAAACCTGGGCAGGCGGAGCTCAGCCCCAGCCCCTCGAGTTGCGCCGAGCAGTCTCGGGCTGCGATGGTTCAGAGGAGGCAGACAAAGCACGGTGGCCGACGCTGGCGTTTGCGGAGGATCAAGTTCAGTGAAATGCGCAGTTACAACTTGCCAAAATTCTACAGGAAATTTGCAGAAAACGAGCCCCCCCCCCCCCCCCCCCCCTTGCTCATATCCGAGGAGATGGCTAACATACGTGGCAGCCCTTGCACAAGACTGTTGTCAGGGGGAAAAAAAAAAAAAAAAAAAAAAAAAAAAAAAAAAAAGGCAAGCAGGCTAAAAGCTTGCTCAGGGGAGCAAAATTTAATCTCTGCCTTTATTTGCAAAATAAGAGGAGGTGAGATTATCCCAGCGCATGCCTGCATCAGCGGCATCTTCCGAGCGAAGGAAGTATCGATTGGGAAGGCAGGCTGCAGCCCCGGCAGCCCGCACACGCTTTGTGCAGCCAGCGCTCCCCGGGCAGAAAATAGGGGGGGCTGCTTGAAGAGGGGAGCGGGGACCCAAAGCCTCGAGGCTGAACGTACCCGCAGACCTGAAAACCCCTCGCTTTCAGCGAGGGGAAACAACACTTACTTCGCAGCAAAGATTCCTCCCCACTGAAGACGGTTTTCTCTCCTCAACAGATGCAATCAGTTCGTATCTGACACGGGAAACACCCAGCTCAGGCATCAACGCTTAAATATTAATGTTGCTATGATATTCCGTACCGTATTTCTAAAACAGGCTGCGGAGCGCAAGTGAACATAAGTTGCAATAAATCTGAATTTTTGAACATTCAGTGGAGAAATCGTGCAAAGCAAGGGAACCCAGCCCCAAAACACCGTTCTAGAAAAACTCCTATTCATTCCGGTTCTGCGTGGAGCAGCAAATTCAGGATCATGACCCAAGGCAATTTTAGTGCTGCAAAATATTTGGGACAAAGACGACTGTAACAAACGTTGTCTGACGTATTGCTCGCACACCACAAATGAGATAAAATTCATAATCTCTGTAATTATACTCCGGAGGTGTCGGTCCCGTTTATTTCTGTGGGGGACGCGCGGAGAGGAGCTATTCTGGCTGCACGTACACAACCCCCGTGCTCAGCACAGCTACATCGCAGTTGTGGAATATCCCTATTACAAGTGTAAATTAAAACCTATAAAATAATATGGAGATTATAAAAATTGCGTTAAAACCGATAACAGCTTTACTGATTTACTGACAATGAAAATATATAGCATTTTTTTCTGTCAGAACATTTATCAACACATGGCAACCCTGCACTAACTTGACATGTAAAATGATCAAAATGGATTATGAAATCTCTTCCGTTCATTTCTATTGATTTTAGTTATGGTAAAATTCATCAGTGTGCAAAGGAACACTTGCGACTGGCATTTCCCCCCCCCCCCCCCCCCCCCAAAATCCAGGCCAATTGGCTGGCTGTAATTTCAGTATGAGATGGCAGTGCAGCATACCTTACCCTGCGTGTCATCGGCGAGCGCACACAGCTCCTACGTCCCGAGAATGCTAAGTGCTGTATTAACTCCTAATTTTCACTTTTAAACTATGAAGTGCTAAATTCTGAGCTAAAATGGGAAAGCATGGACAAAATTATGCAATGTTTACTAAGAAGCAACCATCTGAACGTTTTTCCTTTAAAAATAAACTTTTTCAAGGCTAATGAAAGTTATTTTTGTAACTGCCATAACAAACTGCCAGCGAAGGGACCATTTTTAATCAGTTTTATTGATTCATGCTTTCAGTTCTTACTGAGTTAAAAACAAGGCACATTAAATACATCCTCTTATTGCTCTATAAATGCATGCAGCTCATTCTGTATATCAAAAGTAATAAATAATGGCAGTAAAACACCAAGACAGTTATAAAAATGACAACCCAGCCTCAAACACAGTATTTAACAGTTCAGACTAGAACAGTAACCTACCAAAACAGTAAGTGCCACATGTAAAGCAGGCAGTGTGTGCGTGTACATATATACCCACCTATTTATACACACATATATAAACACACTGCATGTATAACCCGTCCCCTCCCCTCTAGGCGTGCGCTTTATTTAAAACACAAAATAAATCCACCCCCCCCCCCCAAATCCAGAAATCCAACTCCCACCTCAAAAAAAGAGGGGGAAAAAAAAAAAAAAAAAAAAAAATCACATTACTGTTTTTCCACCTAGGATCAGAACAATGCAGGACAGTAACATTTTACAACTCTTTCTACAGTACATTCACATGAAAAAACCCAAACCAAACCAAACCAACATTCCTGAAAACAAATGTGAGGTGAAAAATAAATACTTCCTAGATTTTTTTCCATGTATAGATTTAGCTGTTTCGAGTAACACATGCAATCTTCTCGTGTTACACAAGGCAGTCATACAAGATCTTGCTGTGCCATACAAAGGAGCAGAGAAGCATGACAGTAAAGTGCCTAAGATGCAAAGCAAATTCGTATCAGAGGACACACATATAGCCAAGAAAATCCCAAAGTCACATTCTGTATGCAATATTACTAAAACAAGCGAACAAAGAGTATACTTTGGGTACAAAGCAGAAAATCCTGGCTTTACAAGTAAACTTGTATTATTAATTCTCAACAGTGCCATTTCTAGAGGAGCGGAGGAGAATTTTTCTTTTAAACCATACAAAAGATGTTAAATATTGTAAATATTTTTCTTTATGTGGCCTGGCAAAGGTCTCATTACTTTTACCCCCACCCCCTCTCTTAAATTATTGTTAATAGTAGAATCCTAAACCCCTTCCCGCCTTACCTGCTCCCTGAACCACAATAACCTGTATATTGTACGTTCATTTCCCTCCAATTGTGCAGTATATGTAAAATCTGTGATTGTGTTCGTATTCAAAGAGAGTTTTGGAAATACAAAGCTGCGTCAAACATTGTATACTTCACCCGAATATACTGGAACATGTTTCAAAAAGAAAAGTTTACAGGCCCACAGAAACAAACCCCTTTGTTCATTAAAAAAAAAAAAAAAAAAAAAAAAAAAATCTTACACTGTCCAATGTGTGCTAACTCCTCATTCACACAGCCTGTGCCTCACTAGCACAGGACTCAAAGCAAAAAAGCCATAACCCTGTAACAATATCTGCAGTTTGGTACAAGGCAGCATCAAAAAAAAATTTAACATGCAAAAACCATCTGAAAGGCATTTTAACCGAGACCATCTCCCTCTCTCCAGATTTTACCAACTGTTTGGACTGACAGAAATATAACCACTTACTGAATTTTAAGTGAGGCTTGCCTTTTTTTTTTTTTTTTTTTTTTCTTTTTTAAATCTATTATTTCTAACCACCTGAATTTTTATTGTTATTTCTTTAAGGACTCTGCCTCTCCAGCCAAACACAACATCTGTACTTGCTGTGCTACACAGTAACACTCCTCTGCATCTCCATTTTGTGTATGTAATCATTTTCCCTTTTAAAATATCAAAGTAATCTTTCCTGTTCATCCCTGTACTATTATTTTCCATTAGTGAAAGTGGTGACATCAGTTAAAATACATCAGATTTTACACAAGTAGAAATTATGACACCTTGGAACTGAAGCTTGTTTTGAGTTGTAAACTGGTATTTATACTCAAAGAATAGAACAGAATGACAAATTCATCAATAAACCACTCTTACTCCATTGCTTGTTCTACATGAAGCAGAAATCTTCCAGCTGATCTTGAACCTAGTCAATCTAACAACAGAGGCAAATAGCCAGATACAACGTTGTTGAAAACAGCTCAAGTGGTCCTAATTTTTTTTTTTTTTTTTCCCATTAATCTGTTGAAAAATAGCCCTTTCATTTTTATAGAAAAGGTAGTGGAATGCAAACCAAATTTCATTGTTTCACTTTGTGTTTGAGCACTTTTAAATAAACGAGGCTGTTACTCCGTCAAAACCTGCCACATCCTACACATCACCAGGGGTTGGCCAAAACTGGAAACGGGACGAAGCACTCGGCAGCGTGAGCCACCGCCTGCTAGACAATGCTATTTATTAAAGGAAGCTTATTTTTATTAATATGGGAGAAAGGAAAGCTGTCCCCTAGCTTTTAAATAAATTATTAGCTTGGGTGATTAATCAGATGTCTTGTAGTTTTTCAGCATCTTACTGCTGGTATTTCTGTCTGGCCATGAACTGGTACCGCTGCAAAAACAGAGCAGACCCACCCCGCCGCGGGCGGCTCCTGCCAGGCCCCCGCCCTAACAAGTCTCAGTTTTGCTCCTTTTGGGGAACCATCCCCCGGCCAGAACATCAGCTTTCCCCCCTCTTGCTCTCTGCCGAAGAGGACAGATCAGCAGCTTTAAATACCTAAGGCAGATGATGATGTGCACAGCCCAGCGCCGAGGAGGATGTGCCCAGCCCAGCGCCGAGGAGGATGTGCATTTAAAGGCAGGATTCACTTTCTGAGCATCGTTTTCGGTGAAGGTGATGAGAAAGTTACCGGGCGAGGCAGCACGCGCCCCCAAATCTTTCCAGACTGTATCCCTGAACTCCTGTTAACGAACCCCCGTGTCTAGAGAACACCCAATCCCAAAGGCCGCACCCTGGAGCGTCGGGAGCTGTACAGAAAACGGCTAATGACGAAAACAAGCGGCACCAATGTATTTCTGCAAGAGCTACAGCGATGGAGAGGGACTGGTGACCTGGCAGAAGCAGGGCCGTGAGAAGCGCCGGAATGTTTTTCAGCAGAGAGGCGGCGAGGCGTCCCGGCGAGGCGGAGCTCAGAGCCCGCCGCCGCTCCGGTCCACCGGAATCACCACCCTCTGCCGCAGGTTCTCCTCGGCGGTCTTCATGAGCACGGCCAGCCGGCTCCCGGACACGTGGCCCTTCTGGATGGCGCTCATGAGCTGAGGACACAAGAGGGAGAGCGGCCCATTCACGCGGCTGCGGGGCCGAGGGCGCAGCCCCCCCGGGGCGCAGCCCCCCCCCCAGCCCCCCGGGGCGCGCGGCTCGGTGCCATCCGCCCCTCCTCGCTGGGGCCCGGCCGGCACGGCTGGCTCTCGCGCAAAATAATTCATGGATTTACAGGATGGATTTTTTCCATCTACGAAGCAAAACTGCCGTACGGGTTCAGAGACTCGCCTCCAAGCCCATTTAGGTTTATCCAGAAACAGCAAGGAAGGTTTTGGCCGGGCACGGGTGGCAGGAAGAGCAGAAGTGGCAAATACAACCTGTGTGGAAGTACCAGTGCGGGCAGCCACCGACACCAGGGTTTTTTCAGTGACGTTTAAGGATGTAGGAGAACCCATCTATATCATGGGTGCGCTTGGGTTTTTTTGAGTATCTGAAAGATGTAACTAATGGAAGAACAACATTCCTGATCTACCCCCGACCCCAAACCGTATCCTTTTTCATTCACACGTCCTTCTTTGGAGAGACAGTGTACTTGACTTCCACAATTCTTTCAAATCCAAATTCCTTTATCGACTTTTAAGACGTATTTTGCCTGTAAGTCCTTGAATCTGGACTCAGCTCTATCTTAACGAACACACACTAGCGCTAAGGTTTTAGTTAATTCTTTTTTATCCCAGGGATAAAGTGAGCGTTAGAATTGAAATTACATGCGGTCAGCTTCTCCAAGACTGCTATGGAAAGCAATCGGCACTTACAAAATGCAATTTCTTACTCCCACTGAGTGCGAAGAATCCTTCAGATCTCTTCCCTTCCGAAGGAGAATCTCTTAATTATACCTGCAGCCGGACCCATGCAAACGTGGTATCAACCCTGCCGCAGGCGGGAGGAGTACCCGGGAGGGGAAGGGAGCCCCCTGCTTCCCAGCCCCCTGCGCTCTGGCCGGTGGCAGACGATGGGCTCAGGAGGGAGGGACCCGCAGCAGCAAGAGCAGAAGCTGTTGGGGAAAAAAGCTTCCTCCCGATTTAATGTGGGTGGTTTTTTTTTTTTTTGGGGGGTTTTTTTTTTCCTTTGCATACCAAAACTAGCTCCCAAGGTCCCCCTCCTTTCTTGAGCGTAAACGGCAGCAGCACTAGGCTTCAGAAAAACAGTCAGTGCCGTCAGACAGGCTGTCAGAGCTCTGCCCCCCTGTTTGCATGAAACGCCGATCAATGCCGCCCGCTTCCTCTCTGCGGAACACCTGGAAGTGCCGGTGCCTGCGGGGACCCGTTCCCACAAGACCATTATTTGAGCTACCCTGGCAGCCTGCAGTTGGCCCGACAAAAGCACTTGGCATCGCCCTGCTCCCCACCCTGGGAGCTGCGCAGCCACCCTGGTACAACGTGTTCCTATATTCTAATATAAACGTCCACAAATATTTGCACATGGCTTTCCACAAGCATTCTGCGGTAAAACGCAATTACTTGAAAGTTTTCAGAAAGCAAACACAAAAGTATCGGGGACTGGCTTAACAGATCCATTAAAAAAAATTAAACAAACATTTAATGTATTTTGTTCCTTCCATGGCAACCTCCCGTTAATTTTATTAGCGCGCTTCCTACTTAGCGCCTGGCGACGCAGCAGCTCCCGGCGTGCTGCTCTCTGCCGCCACAGGAAGGAGGTGCAGAGGCACAGGCGATCGTTACTGCAGTGCCAATCACCAGCCTTAAATATTTAGATTGCATTGTGAAACATAGAGGAGAAGCCAGTAGCCACGGAGCTGCACAGTTTCACAAAAGCAACTGTGAAGCTGTACCGAAACAGCGACCTGGCTTTTGTATTTTACAGATATTAGGAGTCAGGGCAGGCAAGCCCTAAGGAAACTTATTCAGCACAGTAAAGCAAAAGCCCCAGAAAGCCACCAAAAAAAAAAAAACCAAAAACAAACAAACGGAAAAGATATAATTACTAGTCATTTCAACTTCTGAACCACAATGTTACAAACCAACCAAACTGAAGTTTAACACAGCCCTTACAGTAAATGGTGGGTTCCCCCCCCCCCCCCCCAATTAAAAGTTTTCACATGCCTTTGTAAGACGGAAGAGGGAGACCCTTTTCACTAGCCAGAACAACAGCTGTGATTTTCTCTTCTATTTGAATACATAAGCATACACTCCCAAAGCCACTGTTTCTTCTTCCCCCCCTGGTCTGTTTGGGTTGTTTTTCCCCACCCCCGCCACTTTCCCCACATGCATTTCATTTACCCAGCTAAATTGCTGCATTTTAGGCAAATAAATAGTCCTTTTTTCTAATGCTGGACACAACCTGTGAAAATTTTCTGCATTTAGATTCAACAATGCTGCTCTTATCTACAGCTCATCTCGAGAGAGACAATTACCATTTCCTTTGCCTTGATCTTGTTTGTTTAACTTGACACAGTGAAGAAAGGGCTGACATTGACCAAAATCCCCAGCATTAATTTATCTCATGTTCGGCATTCATCATTGCCACCATGCAGGAAAGACATGGCAGTCACTTGAAATACCACACCAAGAAAAGCTCTGCAAAAACAAAGCTGTCTGGCAAACTGCATGTGCAAGAGGAGCTGGGTGAACAAACGTTTCAGTAGCACCCTTAATTTTATTTTAAAGCCCTGAAAAAAGCAGATGTATGGGTTGCCAACGTAAGGTCTGTCATGCAAAGTGAGATAAAGTTAGCCAACCCCGGAGTTAAAATGCGATTACACGGACTGGATGTGCTTTAACCATAAGCTCATTCTACAAAATATTCAAAATAGTTTAGAAACTACTAGTCACTTAACAGATCCAGATAAATGTCAGCGTGCATAACTGTGCCATATAACTTCCAATGGACAACTGTATCATTTTAAATGCATTTAAACAGCATTTCTGTATTAAAAAAGACAAATTCAGGTCTGTGCTGTGGTATGCTCAGTAAATTGGACCTGCTCTCTGGGTCTCATTGTTTCTGCACATGAAAAAAAATCATTGAATTTCAAAGTTCCTTGAGGACGGCTCTGCGTGTCACTTATCTCGTGGTCCTGGCAAACAGCATCAACCCTGCAGCGTTTACCCAAGTAACACTCACCTACTTTCCAACCCAGCCCTTCAGCAAAGGGGGGAAACCCACGGAATACCTCTGCCTCTGTTCATTAACCTTACAGCTTCTCTTGTAACAGAGAAACACCTACCTGCAAAAACTCATTGAGCTCAACCTGTCCATTTTTGTTGAGATCCACTTCGTTTAGAATTTCATGAAGTGTATTTTCAGCAATTTGCACACTGATGCTCTAGACAAAAACAAAACAAAACAAAACAAAACAAAAGCACAGAAGTGTGTCAGCTGGATTGTCGGTACTATTTATGCCACACTGAAATTTAGGTAAGAGGCTTAAAAAGGAAACTAAAAGAACACAAGGAAACGTTACCTCCAAGACACGCTGCACATCCAGTATAGTAATAAACCCTTTCTTGTCCTTGTCAAACATGTGGAATCGCTTCTTGTACCTGCAAGATAAGGATTATCAGTGGGAAAAACTGCACTCAGAAGAATGACAGGTATTAATTCCTAGCAGCATAGGGAACAATTTTACTTTACTTACCTTTCAATATCTGAAGGCAATAGGCTGATTTCAGAACTGTCTGTTAATTGATCTGATTTTACTTTGTAGCCCATTTCATAATAGAGAAATTTTTTAGCAGCTTCAAGTTCTTCCTACAATTGAAAAAGAAGGAAAACTGCATATCTAAGGACTAGCAAGTTCTTGCACAATTATTTTTAATGTAGTCTTTATTTGCTTCTTCCACTTAACTAGGGTTTATCTAAGGTCCAAAAAATTAAGCAGACTGTAGCTGGAAAGTATTTAAAAAATAAGTTAAGCTTAGGCACCTTTTTGGTCTTGAAAAAAGATATCAAGTCTAGTGAAGACTTCCAATTACTGTGTAAATACTTTTAGGATGCTCCCACGCCTTCGGTCACACGTGGTGTCACCACCTCTTCCGTGAAGAACAGCACCTGCGGGTCAGGCCTACAAAAGGCCATTTAACTCACAGCCGAGATCTCAGCGCAGGGTTTCACCTAACTGCCTAAAATCTGCCAGGAAAATCAGGAGGCTCAACACCGGGCAGGTTCTTTATGTTTTAAACTAGTTTTCTTGAGGGTAGCAAAATTAATTTATTACCCGAAGGTTCAGTGCAAGGTCTTCCACGGCCAGTTTTTTAGTAAGTGCTAAACACCTGACGTACATAAGCCCTGCAGAGCAGAGCCCTTCCTGCAGCGAGGGGCACACCAAGCATGGCTCTCGGAGTGACACAAGCATCTGCCTCACGGGCACCAATATTAAGCAGTCCGCACTGCAGTTAACAAACAAGAGGAAGCATGCTAAGTAACGGCTGCAGCGGCAGTAAAAGATTCCCAGGCACGTACGTGTAAGCCACTTCATCTAGCAGAGACTTGCTCGTGAAGGCGTATTAGGAGACCAAGTAAACCATACCAGACTATTCTTACATACTTCAATATAAGCACACAAATTAGCCTTAAAGTCCCAAACCAACAAAGACTTATTTAATGGTCTTACTATAAGATCTAAATTAAAGAATGCTCTTCTGGATAGGCATTGAATTGCCTCGTCCATCAAGTTGAAATCTAGCACGTGCAAGATTGCTGTAAAAATGTAGCCCTTCAAAACGGCCCAGGACTGCTTACAGAAGAGATGCTCAATAGCTCCAGGGGTTTTAGCCTCATTTGAAAGAAAAAAAAAAAAAAAAAAAAAAGACATTTCCAAAAGAAAGCCCAGCAGACATCCAAGGAACACAGAGGCTGCCTTGCTGGCACTAGCGAGCTCACAAGCCACAGTTGGCTTTGTAAGCCTCCCAGGTACACGCAGTGCTTGCTCATTTTCCTCCCTGCAGGTTACGGTGAGAGCGGGGCCCCGACTCTGCCGCTGCGGGCTGCTGGCGTTCGGGCAGCCCTTGCCACCCTCGTGTCATGCTGCTCGCACATCCTGGCTTTGCAAACTTCCCATTTTCCAACCCAGAATTGATACAGCTCCGTTTAACACGGTGAATTACTACATGAGCAAATCTCTTCGGGCAAGGGTGAGACACCTCTAACTTCAGTCAAACGCCTCTGACTGTGAGGTTGCTCAACATCCATGCGCGCAAGCAACACAGCTCACAGCTGTGGCAGGATGGCATCCCTTTCTTTATGCGTTCCTGGGGGGGAGGCTGTCGGATCACAGCATGTCCTCTGGCTAGCAGGATTCAAACGAGCTCCTTCCAGGATGTCAGTCAAACTCCTACCTGGCTGAAAGGCTTCACGAACAGCCCAAGGGAAAACTCCCATCCCCTTTGGAGTGGAAGAGCCAGGTGAGCATCACAGGCTGGGTTTGCTTCAGAGCGAGAGGCGCCCCGAACCACGTGTCCCATTTGGGCACAGCACTCCTTGTGCTGCCTTTCCCCCACCGTGCTCTGGGGAGCATTGCCAGTGCAGCCTCCAGGATCCTGGGCAGTTATCTTTTTACAGCAGAAAGAAGTGATAACCGGTAACTTCCGTGATGCGACAGTTCGGAAGGGGCAGGATTCATGTCAGTAAGCGGGATGCCTACAGCTAAGCTGGTTATCCAAGGTACTCCCGGCAGTTTGTGGAGACCTAAGCAGGGCTGCAGGGCACGAGTGGATGCAGGCACAGCAGATGCCTTTGTTAGGGTAAGCCGAGGGAGCCAAGCAGGCGTGGCGACTAGCTGAGGGACAGCCAGTACCAACACCGCGAGTCAAGTGAGGTGAGCAAGTCCTGTGGGGAGCAGCTGAGGGAACTGGGGGGGTTAGGCTGGAGAGGGGGCTGGGGGGGACGGGACCTCAGGGCTCCCTACAGACACCTGGAAGGAGGCCGTAGCGAGCTGGGGGTCCGTCTCCTCTCCCAGGTAACCATTGACAGGATGAGAGGAAACGGCCTCAAGTGGCACCAGGGGAGGTTTAGGTCAGGTAACAGCAAAAATTTCTTCACAGAAAGGGTTTTCAAGCACCGGAACAGACTGCCCAGCGAAGTGGTGGGGTCACCACTCCTGGAGGGATTTAAAAGACGTGTAGACGTGGTGCTTGGGGACACGGGTTAGTGGTGGGTTCGGCAGTGTTGGGTTAACAGTTGGACTCAATTGCCTTAAGGGTCTTTTCCAACCTAAATGATTCTGTGAGTCCCACACTGTTTGACTGGGCACAGACCCACCGGGGGCAGCGGAAGCTAACGATGACCTTAAACGTTAGTTTAGGCCAGAGAAAGGTGCAAACTCAGTGTCGTCACTTTTCAACTCATTTCGCAGCTAGTCTGATAAAGTCTTCACAATGAAACACGCCAGGGGAATCATTCTCTCAGGAAGAAAGCATCACTTGAAGTTTTCTGTTCAACTAATTTAGATCATTAACACAGAAACCACTTAAGAACAACAAAACTGTTTCAGATGAAAAAGGCCCTTTGTACCTTTTTTTTCTGCTCGCTCCAGTTGAGTTCTTTCCCCATTATATCTACGATTCTTGGCAGGGCTTCCTCTGCAGCCTGCACATTCAGAAAGGCCAAGCGAGTACGTCGGGAAATCATATCCACTGCTGTGCGGGCATACTCCTTAATGCCGTAGACAACCTGGAACAATAAGACAAGGGGGGGAAAAAAGCAGAGGAGAAAGGAAATTATGTTTAGCATCACAAACCGCACTGCTGGGCTGGCTATACAAAATAAACTTCCTGTAACTGGTTCCCACCCCATCAAGAGAAGAATGTGAAAAAGCTCCCTTTTCCTTGGAACATTTTATAAAATGCATCTGGGATCAGACGTGTATATATGAAATAAAAAAGAGACATTATATAATTATAAACATTTATTTATAAATATGCTAATATGTGTATATATAAACATAGAGTATGCTCCAGGGAAGGGGAAAAACAAGAACAGAAAAAAAAAAAAATCTGGACCTCAGCAAAGGAAAGAGCTTATGGAGATGTTTTACAGAGCGAGACAGACCTGCTCTAGAACTTGCTTATCCCAAGAAGAGAATCAAAAAGCATTATGTAGTTTTTCTACATACCTCAGCTTCAATATAAGGAAATTCAGATACAAGACGTTTTCCAACAATAGGCCATCTCTTTCCTGTGACTTGGGCTATTTTGGCCACCTCAAAAGCCTTGTCGCCGTATGTCGAAGCGAGGTGCTGGGCCACCTGTGGGGTTGGAAACGAATTCAGTATGCTTTTGAAAGCACATCAAACGTACACACGTTTTTCGTGTCAGTCCTCTTACACCAGTAACAAATAGGCTGAAGAGGGTATTAGATTTTGATTGTGTGGGAGGAAACTACTTGTGTTGTGAAGAGGTCAGCACGGCAGCGACACCACGATGTATGTATCGGTGTAACTGTGACTAATGACGCTCCAACTCTTGGGCTACGCCGTGATCACATCGGAAGTATAGATTTTGTTGGGCTCAAAGGAAGACAGACCCTAGCATGTCGTAACATTTTAAAGCAGCAAACAGTCAAGATTAGGAGGAAGGGAAAAGGGAAGAAAAGAAGAACAATTACTAGAATTTATTTTTGTTAAAACTATCTTTGCCCTGGCCAGATAAGAAGCTCTTATCAGGCTCAGCAGACCTTTGTACAAGTTATGCTGGCGTTAGATTTAGTGGGAAAACAAAACCCTCCAACACAGAAACATCAGGGCATCAACAGAAACCACGACTCACCTCACTTTCAAGCCCATAGTCTTGGACCAACCTAATGTAGAGAGTGGGACTCCAGTCCTCAGCCCCCTCTAGCTGCAGTCCAACGGTTTTACTGGAACCTGCCTTCAGACCATGGGCCTGAACAGCTGCATCAATGGTGTCCTGCGCCATGGCACGGTAGGTTGTCCACTTCCCCCCTGCAACCACACATTGACTCTTCGTTTGGGGAAAGCAAGCGGAATACGAGGTTGGTGTGTACTATATATATTTTATATATAACACATTACTCCTACTAGACTTGCTCCAACAAGCCTGTCATGCTACCCCTGACAGATCATTATCTGACTACGGGAATGTGAAGGATTATCCTGTAACCAGAAAAGTTTTGAATAAAATACACTGGGGAAGCCCAGCAAAGCTATACTTTAAGAGAACTTCCAGTACCTGCTATCGTGACAAGGCCACTATCGCTAATGGTAACGACATGATTCCGGGATATCGACTGTGTGTCTTTGGAGTTGGGGTCTGTGACCAGAGGACGAATGCCACTCCACGCTGCCAACACGTCTCCTCTTCTCACTGTCCGGAACCAAAGATCAGCCAGAGTCAGCCAGGAACTGATGGGTATTTACCTCATATCCCTCCTGGGGTCTTTGTGGCACTGCCTCCGAGCAGATACTCGCTGTGAAACAAGGACTGCACCACACCGTGCTTGTTAGTTGAGCAGCTCAAAAAGCCAGAGAAGATTCTCCAAAGTAATGGAATAAGCTGGACTGCAGATTTAAAACCAGCACTGCCCTGGTCAGTATCAGTAATACCGTCTAGCCCAAAACAAAATCAGTGTGGTCTGTTTTTCACACTGCTTAAAAATCCAACAGAACAGAGAGATCCTGGGAACGGATGAACAAAGAGAGATTCAACTGTCAAACTCACCAATCAGCTCAAAAACACCCCAAACCCAAAAAACAAACCCTACCAAAAACTAAACACACCCCCACACGCCCCCCACCCCAGCACCAAGTCTTCTCCTTGGTTGCTTGTGCTGCCAGGACAGTCCTTACATTGCGTTGTAGAAACCAAAACGAAGTTTGTTCCACGTGAGGGGAATGTTTGCTTTTAGGACTTAATCTTTTTCTCTAGCTTGTAAGTTATTTTTCCAAGTTTTCCTTCTGACAAGTGGCCTTGACCCGCAGCCTTTATCGGCGGCGCAGTTACACACACGCGCAAGGAGACGATTTACCGGCAGGGCCCCAACGCCAGCACCGGCTACTGCCCAGCAACCCCGGCTGGCTTCTCAAAAAACCCCCAGGAGAAGTCCACATCTCCCACACGGCTGCCTCTTCCAGCCCTGCCTCCTCTTCCTCCTCCTCCTCACCGCTTCAGAAAGGCCGTCCCGCTCCACAAGCCGCCCGGCGAAATGGCCCTAAAGCCATCGCTGACTCCTCGGTAAACTCGGGGGAAGAAAACCCAAAGGCATCAGGTAGTCACAAAAGCCCTTAACAGTTGTAGGAAGATACCCGAGCCTCCCAAAGTTGCTTTTTTTAATATGTAAAACATGGGACCAGTAGAGAATTTAATTAAATTAATTTTGTTGATTATTAAATTTGCAATAGAAAAACTGACCTCTTTGCTTTACACTGAAGTCTTTGGAACGTGTTTGCTTTTTTTTTGTTTGTTTGTTTGGTTTTTTTTTTTTGTTTTTTTTTTTTTGTTTGTTTGTTGTTTTTTTTTGTTTTTGGTTTTTTTTGTTTGTTTGTTTTTTGTTTTGTTTTGTGTTTTGGTTTTTTTTTTTTTTAATACAACTTACAAATAAATGATAATTGAAAAAAAAATCAGTAAAAGGGTATAAAAATATCCCCCAAAGAACACAAAATAGATTTCAGAAATCAATGGTGCTCTGCCAGCATGTTTAACCTGCCAAAATGAAGTGTTAATCACAGAAATAAGATACCATATTACGTTTATAAACTAATGAAACTAGAAAAAGCAGCATGCGTGACACTATAATTAAACAGTTGGAACACATCCAAGCCTGTGTAAGTTGATAACCCTGGCACTGTCTCTGGCAGCAAAAAGGCAGGTCTGCAGCGAGTTGATATGGCCAGCACAGTTGTTAATTCAGTAACAAGCAATCTATAAACACTGCTAATTGCGTATGTGAAAAACAGCGTGCACCTAGGTAGGTTTCATTCAAAAGAATTAAACACTTTATAACGTACTTCTGTACAATACCTTGCAAAATCTCTGGTTTATTCAGAGTGTTAACTCCAGCAGCTACCTGACCGGCCCACCGCACTTACTGGTATCGACTGCTGCTCAAGGAACTCAAAGGTACATTTCCTGAAGACTTCTGAACTTTATACAACAGAGCCATCAATTATCCACTTCAGGAAACGAGTAATCTAGCATTTCCAATCTCCGGACAGTGAGTTTTCCTAAATCTAAGGGTGTTGCAATGTTCCTGAGTGCTTTTCAGATTTCATTTAATGCTGCTACTACAACAGAAATACCGAAGTCCAAATGCTTTCACAGAATAATTTTAAAAAAGCCCTCACTACGAAGGAAAGAAGCCTCTTTCCTTTAAACCAGCACTGAGTCAAAACGGGCCAGCATCTTACAACAAATGTGTTCTCAGCTCAGCTCCTGAAAGGAACAACTGCCACCAAGTAATTTTTATAAATTCTCCTTTTTGCCCCATATGCTTTCCTCTCCCACTGGAAACTGACATTGTTAGATATTTATCATATAGAAAAGTAAATTCTAAGAATAAAGTGCCTAGAAAAATGGCAGGGCAAGGGTGGCATCCCGAGGGACCTGGGCAGGCTGGGGAGGGGGCCCGGGCAAACCTCATGGGGTTCAACAAGGGCAAGGGCAAGGGCCTGCCCGGGGGTCGGGGCGATCCCCAGCGGGGCCAGGGGGGGGATTGTCCCCCTCTGCTCCGCTCTGGGGAGACCCCCCTGCAGTGCTGGGGCCAGCTCGGGGGACCCCAACAGCAGAAGGACCCGGAGCTGCTCGAGCGGGGCCAGAGGAGGCCACGGAGATGCTGGGGGGGCTGGAGCAGCTCCCCTGGGGGGCCGGGCTGAGAGAGTTGGGGGGGTTCAGCCTGGAGAAGAGAAGGCTCCGGGGAGCCCTTCGAGCGGCCTCCCGGGGCTTAAAGGGGGGGCAGGAGAGGTGGGGGGGGACTCTGGGTCAGGGGGTGGGGATGGGACGAGGGGGGACGGTTTTGCACCGAAAAAGGGCAGATTTAGGTGAGATCTGAGGCAGAAATCCTTCCCTGTGCGGGGGGGGAGGCGCTGGCCCAGGGTGCCCAGAGCAGCTGTGGGTGCCCCCTCCCTGGAAGGGTTCAAGGCCAGGTTGGACGGGGCTGGGAGCCCCCTGGGCTGGGGGAAGGGGGCCCTGCCCGGGGCAGGGGGGGGCACTGGGGGGGCTTTCAGCTCCCTCCCCACCCAAACCAGTCTATAAATAAAACAAAGACATGGGAAAAGTCAGAACAACTTTTCCTTTGAGAAAAACAAGTGAATTATTTGATGTACTCGTGTTGATGTATGACTGAACTGTCCCAGATCTGCAAAACCTTGCATCTGCCACCCAGAGAGACCAGAATGTCTCGGCTGTGCAGCTAGACAGCTAGTGCCAGTTAGATGAAAGGTATGTGAAATCTGAACCTGCAGATATCACTGATTCCTATTTAAATAGTCCAAGTAGAGCAGGTATATCTGGAAAAGCATCATTTTATAGCTCGGAAACACACCTCATGGTGACACTGATGTCCCACTAGTTTTAAAAACACCCGGATGCACAAGAACCATACTTGTCAGAGTCACAGAAAAACTTCAGACAGACAGACAGCATTTACTCCAACTGAAATGCCACAGACTCATCAGAACCCTCCCAGGGAAAACCAGAGCTGCCAAAGGTTTACCTTCAACATCAACGCTAAGGTAGTTGCGCACTTCATTCAAAATGAAGTTTATATCTTCTTCTGTTGGTATCGGATGGGACGTAACATCAGTCGGGCTGTCTGTGGTCCCTGCAATAGTCATCTTCTCCCAGGGCAGGAAGAAAATCACTCTACCATCACTGGTGGCCGGGTCAAGCAGACCCATGTTATCAGGGCTGAAATAAAGAAGGGACGTGGTTCAAAACAGGCCAGGCATCACCAGGGATTCTGTTCCTCCACACCTTGTACCCCAGATAAAGTATCAGAACATTGCCTTTGTTCTCAAGTCAAATCATTAAAAAAAAAAAAAAAAAAGATAAAACCCAAAAAAGATGATTTGAGATTTCACTCATGACCATGACCTGACTTTAAATGGTAGTCCCAGAAGTTCTGAGAAATAAGGCCCTTGAGTATGATGCTGAAATAATTCTAGTAATTCTAATAATTTCTAATAAAAAATTCGATTTCCTAAGCAAGTTAGCAGACTACAATCTTAAATTGAGCAATCGGGCCTTTGGCATCATATATCCCCATTCACTCTGGAAAAACCTGCTCAGTGCAATTTAAAATACAAACATTTGGAAAATTTAAAACAGCAATTAGTTGAAACTCATTATGGAATGAACAACTGCTTTTAATGAAAAAATGGACAATCATTTATATTATGCAACACAGCAAAGGGGAGGCTGAAACAGAACGCACATTAAAATGGAAGAACAACAGAACCGCTGTTCTGTTTTGATGCATCTAACAAGAAAAATTAAAGCTGAAGAATTATTAACCCAGGTTATCAGTTGTCTGTACCCTAACCAGAGGGCAAAAGCAAAGACATGCAAAATCCCAATGACTTCTACAGCCTGCGTTCGCAATAAAGGTGGGGCAGGAGGGCGCGAGGGCTAGCGACAGAAAGAAAAAATAGAGAAAACAAGAGAACAGCGACGCTGAAATCATAAGCATTGTGATTACATTTAAACAGTAAACTTCCAGTGATCCCACAGCCGGAGTTGGTTAACCACCCACCACTTCAAGGGGGACAAACACCCAGAGGCTCCCAAGGGATTCGGAGCAAGAAGCACGCTCCGAACGCGCCCAGCTCCTGCGCTCCTGACTGGGGAGCCGTGCTGGGAGGAAAAAAAAGGCAAGAGAGACACTAACTGGATGCCACTGTTCAGAGATTTTGCATTTATTTATGCCAGCGCTACAAACAGAATGATTCAGGAAAATGAACAAAACCAGTAGTTCTTCATACAGGAAATCTTAATTTATGTATCGATGTTTTCTGGTATAATGCAAAAAAAAAAAAAATAATCCACAGGTACAAAACCAGTTATCCTCATGACTTACTAATAGCGCTGCTTGTATTTCAGAAAACAAAAGGCTTCTCTAAACACTTCAAAGTAAACAGCTTTTATCTAAGGAAACATTTAAGCTGCCCCTTTTTTGTTTCGTATTTATTTAAAGAAGAGACTCTGACTTTCATTTCAGGTGATGGAAGTCCTTGTAAAAACATCTGTAGCCAATTTAGCAGTCTTCAGGTTTTGCACCTATTCCTGATAATGGAAGGAGGACATAGGAGCTGTGTGGAAGGCGGCTAGGAGGTATATATTTAGGTGGTAATAAGGACCATCAGAGGGGAGTAATTCAGTGGACTCAAATAACTACTAACACAATAAGCTGAAGGTAGACAAAGACCTGCTTGGATATGAATTACCCATTCAAGAGAGCTGCAAGCTGAATCACTGAATATTTCATTTTTAGGAAGTCTAAACTGATTACTGAAGGTAAGTTTTCAATATCTGGAAAGGCTAGAAGAGAAGCTGAAAATTTCATATATGGCATGTATATTAGAACATTTTTTAGATGATATTTATAGACAGCTTAAGCATACAGTTGGAGAAGTACAATTTAATAGGGGAAGTCAACACAGATTTGTGAAAGGTAAATCACGTCAGACAAATGATTACTTTTTAAAATGAAAAAGCTATTGATTTAGAGACAGAGGAAACTAGAGATTTAATATATAGTATCAGAATATTCAGAAAAGTTTAGACATTTTCTCAAAAGTATTAATTTTTTTTAATGTGATTTTGTAAAAATTGTTAAAAATAAGGAAGAAAAACAAGTGAAGACTTAAAACTAAGTTTCACCACAGCACCAACGGACTGAAGTGTTTTCAATTAGATTACACAGCAAATGATGAGAAAGGAGGAAAGAGTTTTCCATATGCCAGTCCATTTATGGAATTAATAACTGCCAGCTACCCTAGGAAGCTCGCTCTCAATCTCCTATCACTATGTTTGTTCCACCTTACACAAATAACTGAAGAGCCACCAAACCAAGTGTAAAATAAGGTGTTTCCCATCAGAAAGAAGCATCCTAATACCCCAAATATTGGCTGTTCTGGAATGACTCTGGAGTCGTGCTGCTACACACCAGGAATACTTCTGAAAAAAACACATTTTATAAGACACGAGGTTCTTACCGATACAGCATGGACGCGAGAATGTGGCATGAGCTACAGCAATATTTCTCTAGTAATCTTGAAAGACCACTAAAATGTGTAAGTTCAGGATTGTAAACTCTAATGTGAAGTATAAAGCAATGCCTTTACATAGAAATATAGGGGCAAATGGTCTTGGAGTATAATACAGATGGGTCTGAAGTGACTCTCTGTCAGCAAAACAAACATCAAGATACCCGGCCTCATGGCAAAGCAACAGGAGGATATTTAAGAGTTGCCTTAAATCAGCTGAACGCGTGTAGAGCACGTCTGCTTTTTAAAAAGCTTCCTCTTCCAAAAAGCAGTGCAGTTAAACTGGACAACGTATGTCGAATGTATGACAAATCAGGAAAGAATCTTGAAAACGGATGACTAAAGTACCCGTCGAATGTAAGGAGCTACAGGCTACGGAACGAGGCAAGATGATGTAACTGAAGGACAGACCAGAGCTCTCGAGCATACGGTTCATTCCTGGACATGAAATATGGCATTTTACAGGGCAGAACGGGTACACAGATCATCGCTAGTTGAAGAAGCATTTGACCACAGTGCCACAAATGCAGCTGAGGAACAAATAAGTGACTTTCCGTAGAGCAGAACTAAGGTTTAACAGACAAGTTTACTTGGAATCTGGAATGCAGAGCTGATAGGAAAACTTAAGAAAGACTGAAAACATCTGAAATTCGTCAGAAGGGAGGGGACAAAACTATTGCGTTCATAGACACATTTCAGGCAGGAAGCATATCGGAGCAAAGGTAGCCAAAACCCTCTCTCATTTTAGCAGATAATACAGTTAAACAATAGGGAGTGAAAGAGACTTACTGCAGCTACTGGAATAGATACGTGTATGCTAAAAATAGAATTAATGAGAGGAGGAAAACTGGGACTATTAATGAAGAACATAAATGAGTAAGAAACCCATGGGAAATGAATGCATTAGGTTAACCTTAGTTTTACAAAATCTTAACTCTGCTTCTGTCTAAAAACCTCTACCTCTTAAAAAACTTTTCATTTGCGTGAGTATGGGCCAAAATTCTATAAAACATTTGCCACAAGGCAAGCGGACGCAGTGAAGCGACAATATTCGTTTGCTGGGGAGTATTCCTTGGCACCAGGAACAGACCTGATACAACTAAGATTAAATACCACGCGTATTTTCTATTTAGCAGACAGTTCCTTGGTTTAAGCCACCCCACTTCAAGGAAATGCAGTACATCTTTATCTAATCAGCTGTACTGTGGAGGCAGTATGTGGGCAGATACTATCTTACAAGAAAAGTAATGCCCACATGCTGACATACACGGGGGAACAAGGAGAACAAGAATTCTCTACATTTCCAATTAAAATTATTAGGTTCTCACAGAATAAATAAATTAGAGCCCTCCTGCATATCAAGCCACCTTCTACTTTGAATTTACAAAGCGAGTCAAAATTTTAAAACCGTCCATGTTTTTGCTGTAGGGCCATAAAGTCAATCACACACGTCCTTCTTGTAGCAGATGAGGCAACTAGGATTACAGCCCATTTCTCCACATGGCTAGTGCTTTAAAGCAGCTATCAGGTCATTTTCCCATTTTTCACGTGGAAAGACACCCAAAAAAGAACAGAATGCAAGAGTGATTTTACACTGGGCCAAAAATGCCTCAATTTTACAGTCTATGGTCATGTCCTGTTGGGACAGCTCCGGCAAAAACTGGAAGTCTGAATTTATATTCAGAGAGGAGTGCGACGATGATATGGAAGGGCATTATTGTAAGTGCACTGTATCAACAGAATTGGGATAAGTCTATAAATGTGAATTTCCATTAGGATGCTAATGACTTCAGAAACCAAAGGTAATATTTGAGTTTCAACTGACAAGGCTTACTTGGCAGAAGGGGATTTGGTTTTGCAGCAGCAGATAAGGAAAGAAGCAGGAGTGCACCGGGACCCTCTTCTGTAAGCAGGTCAGCGGAGGGAGGCCAGTCCTTCCCACCAAGACCACCACGGGTGGCTGGGCTTGCGTCCACAGCGGCGTCCGAATTTAATCGGGCTTTTTTCAATGACTTACTATATTGCCTCCATGCTGCGCTCATATCTACGGCGAGTGGAGTCGTACCGTGGCAGAATACAGTGCACAGGGAGTATTTAATAGGACAAGAGTTTTCGTAGGAGGGTGGCAACCCTCCTGAAAGGTTTTACGTGCTCCTGGTTTTCTTACGGGGGGTGAACTAGCAGTCGGTACACTCCATTCCAACTCGTTATTAAAAAAAGGTGCCTTTCACAAGCCTGGTGCAGATGCTCTGTCTAAACACCCTTCTGCTTCAGCAGGAGCTCTGCCTTGGTGAGTTCTAACTAAGAGCTACAAGACTTCAGTCTCTTCTGAATACATGAAATTGTTCTTCTAATTGGCACAGTGTCAGAATCCTCTTTAAGAGGAGACAAACAAAAGGAATCGTCCATTCAAAACCACTGTAAAACCCACAAATGTGTCTCTGCAAGCTTATTTATTACAGGCACCAGCAGAGATTCTTACGGACGGCTTAGGCTTTGAATATCGTTACCTGTAATAACCAGGCATCACAATATGCACGCCTGCACTTGGCTGACAGATGTTTGGTACTTCCTGATCATCCATTTTGCGCACAGAGTCTGTGAAAGGTCCCGTAGCATTGATAACACATTTGGCTTTGACATCAAATTCCTGCCCTGTGAAAGAAAACAGCATCAATCACATACACCATTTGTTTTCCTGCTCACTGACACTCTCTATTATTAATCTATCTATGGACCTAACCTACTGTAAAGCATACTGTGCTTCTCTGAACAGAACAGCTAGAGCGGTTTTTAAAAATTAACACAGTTTTCACATAACCAGGTTGGAAAGAGAATGTTTTACAATGAAATTCCACCTTATCTGTAAAGGCAGAAGAAGGTAGACCGGGCAGAAGAAGTTGAGCTGAAATCTGCCTCAAACGAGAGAGATTTCAGTCTCAACCCGTAGGGCTTGGTAAGCGGGATTATTACTGTACAGCACTTTGCGTTTTACAGTATCGCCCGGGCTCGACAGGAGGCTTCGGCCGTAAAGCTTGGTCTGCCCTGCCAAAACGACGAGGATGGGAGCGACAACCCTGGCGGGAGTCAGAGATGACCGGCGCTCACGGCACGCCGCTGCCCGCCGGGCCGGTGGCGCCTTTGGCGCTTCGTGGATGTTTACCAACAGCAGCGCCCCCGCTCCTCCTGGGGATTTCTGCGCTCTTCCAAGGGGGCACCGCTCCCCTGCAGGGCTGCGCTTTCCGCCCCACCGCGGCACGGCCGAGCCCGCTGCGCACAGCCCGTCCGTCCGTCCGTCCGCCGAGGCACGTACCTGTGAGGACGTCCCTGCAGCGCACCCCGCAGACGCGCTCCTTCCCGCTGGCCGCCTCCGTCGTCTTCAGCAAGCGCAGCACTTCAGCGTAATTGGCGGTGGCAGCGCCGTACCTGGCGGCGGTGAGGGCGATGGCGAGGTTCATCCGCGCGTCGTTGTGCTGTCCTGCAGCGGGGAGAGGGACGCCGGTCACCCCCAGCCACGCGCCGGCGGTACGGACGGCTGTCAGGCCCCATCCGTCACATCTGGCCCCCGCGCCTCGCCAGGCCCCCTCGGCGCTGCGTCCCAGCGCCGCCCCGCGCAGGATTAGCCCTCCTTCACCTCCGGTTCAGGAGAGCACAAAGCACTTTGCTTCTGGACCTCGCCCCGCGCTGTAACTCTGTAACGGGATCTCCCTGTTCCTTTGACAGTCCAACCGGTATTAATCAACGCTCCCGATTAGCAAATGGGCCATTCAACATCCGAGAAACAACCTTTCGGGGACCGTGCCAAGTCATCAGCTTTCTGTAACTGGGTTTTCCTGCACACGCATCTTAACTTCCCAACATACAACATAAAAGCATCCAAAAAACCAGAAATAAGTAGACAGGAATTAATGAAGGATTCTTAACATATATCATTAAAGATTTATTACTGAAATTCCCTCGTTAAAGAAAACCAAGAGAGAGGTGGAGGGACCATGAGGGGAAGATGATTAATTACTTTGAAATACTGGCTTCACCTGAGACTTTTCCTATTTATTATTGCCACCGAAGTTAAAGTCCTGGATGCTGGCTAGAAAGAATTACTATACATTGAAGGGACCAGGCTCTGTGTGTCCTGAATAATTAATTTACGAGAGGGCTAAACTTCCTGAGGTACGGTTCACTTCCCCACGTGTTTGGACCACTTCTATCAAAGATAATACTGATAAAGTGATAAATTTGTAATAGATATTGTAGTTGATTTATGTCGCCAGCATTCCTAACGTTTAGTATAAATGGTTTATGTAAAGTTTGGTCCTTCTGATTCTGCCTGTGCAATCTCGAACCACCGCACAAATAATCTGTTCCTAGCTAAAAGGGCAAAGTTATAAAGATGGGATCAATGGCCTCGAAGGCACCACCTCCCCTCCCCAAACTGCTCATTCTAACACAGCCGAGACGATACAGTGCAATCAGTCTTCACCTACAAGAAAAAAAGTTATGCGAAGCGTACAGAAACAGTAACATGATAAAGCACCGATGAAGAAACAAACAGTAACTCCAATTCAACCAAGCAAACAATGCCTAGAATAAACTGCAAAAAAGAACAGCAAAACAACTGAGCAAGATGTCAAGAAAAGTTGGGGATGCTTCATCACACAAGATGCATAAGACTAAACAACCATCTGTCAGAAGCGGCAGGCGAATCATTAAATAAATGCATCAACATTTATGCTGCAGCAGTGTCAGGGAATGGATAAGATGACCTTATGAGGTTTACCTCAAGCCTTAACATTTTAACGCAGGGTTGAGAGAACGTACATCTCTCGCACAGAGGGAGCACTAGACAGAAAAAAAAAAAAAAAAAAGACACAGAGCAGCGACAAAGCTGCCTTACAGTAGCTGCTTCCACACCGAGCAAATACAGCCCCTATCGTCCAGGGGCCGGGAGACATCCCTCTCCACCGCGGTCCCCGACCCACGGGCTACTGCAAGGCTCGGCTCTGCAGCACAGGAAAGCCAGCACAACCCAGAACCTCCGCCCTCACGCGAGTGCCGTCTCTGCATGAGCAAAACCCTGAAGCACCCTGTCCGTGCGGGAGGATTTCTGCTTTTATTGGAGGAGGGACCCCCAGGGCTAAGAGGGTTTCCTTAGTTACTTTTTGACACCCCCCCCATCTATTTGTTCTCGCCATCGGCGCATAACGTGGTACCCGATACCAACTGGTCTCCGCCGGCCAGCACGGGGCGTGGATTCATCACACAGAAGCAGCACAATTTACAGTGTCAGCCAATATTAGCTTTGGTCTATGGCAAGTCTGACTGTTTAAATTTTGCAAGCCTGCCTCTTCCCAGTTTGGTGACTTATTTGTCCAGACCAAAAGCAATCCAGAGAAGCCAATCAGCAGAATAAATAATGTGGAAACAGGTGTAATTTCTAAAAAGAACAAACATTTAAGTAACAGTTGTTTACTAAGCCCCGAATCCAAGAGCTGCTCAGCATTTTGTTGAAACTCCTGACGCTCAGAATGTCAGAGTGAGCTGAGGAGACGCTCAGTGCATTTCAGGATTCGGACCACTGTGTCCAAGACAACATTTTCATGCTTTCTCTGAAACTCTCATCCGTTTTCCCCTCATCATTATTCTGATGCGAGAAACCCCTTGCTATTACTTAATTCTCGGCTGTCCAAAAGGAACTGAGTGCCTGTGTAATGTATTTGCAGGAAGAGGACTGGGAAATAACCAGTTCCTGATTAACTGCGCATCTAGAAAAACCCACTGGCTTCAGATGGATGTGATCTACAGTGCGGAGTCCTGGAGTATTTCATAGTATAAACAGCAGAGATCTGTAGAGGTCTAGATTTGAAAGAAATGAAGAGTGACTTACCGGCTCAGAAATTTATCATCTGTGGAGAGTAATACTGCAACAGTTTGGTAGAGATGGGGTCACTACAATAGTTTTTATACTCAGAAACAGCTTTTTTTTTTTTTCTTTTAAGCCCTCCAACTCACATGTGTACATGTTCCCCCAGACAATTACATTAAAATCCTGCACTTTATATACAATTCTTTTTTCCTCTAGATGTCTGAAGAAGTGGTTGCTGTTCCTCCCTGCACACCCCCCATTATAAAGGCACTGTAGCCAGATCAGTCCTTACGACAGCACCATTCACAGTTGACAAAGCATATTTTCTGCTGATGAAAGTAAAACTAGCTATTTACGCATGTGCTTGTTTGGAATCAGGAATGTTTATTTCAAAGAGATTGGTACGTGTCCTGGTACTTGGATGATCCTTACCGCTCTAGAGAGAAACAGAAAGATGAAGCAAAGCCAAGATCCTGCATCTCAACCTTTTCAGCTTTTCAGTTAAATGCTCTTCTCCCCAAGTAAGATTCAGAGGTCCTCCAAACCCAAGATAAAAGAGCCTCCAAACTTGGAGATTCCCTTGGTACAAAGAGTCCCAGAGAAAAGACAAGGGGTATGGGCTACAAGTGACTCCAAGGAAAATTCTGACTTGACACAAGAGGAAGATGTTTCACCACGAGAACAACCAGCCACGGGAATAATCTCCCCAGGGCAGGGGTGGATTCCCCAGCACTGGACCCTTTTAAGATTCAGCTGGGCAGGGTGCTGGGCCGGCTTGTCTAGACCGGGCTGTGCCCAGAAAGGTTGGACCAGCTGATCCCCGAGGTCCCTTCCACCCTGGGATTTGATGAACTTCTTCCAGAACACACGTGTAAAGTTTTCTTGACACGAGCGCTACCGCCGTGTCCCGAAGATCCCCGGGAAACCCCAGGCGTAGCTGTGTGATAAATGGCAAGGTAGCCAAAAGCCTCTGTGGCAGGTCCTGGCTTCTCTCCTTAAGGTAGCTCTGCCCCGTTGTCCTTCACAGCAGCCGCTGGTGCCCCACAGCAAAACAAAGAACACAATTACTCACCCTTGCTTCCGGAGGTAACCCCTCTTTGATGCCACGTTTTGTTTTTTTTTTTCCTTCCAAATGTTGTAAGCCAAAAAGTTGTTTTATAACAACAGAACAGCTAAGCCCAAATAATTTGGCATCCTTTTCCATAAAGGAGTAAGCCAGGCGCCGGTGGTCAGCTGGCTGCAGCCGCGGTGCTGCCACAGGTGCCACCTCAGCGGCTTTGGAAGAAGCGTCCAAGAGCCAACTGATGGAACACGCCGAGTTTCCTTTGCGACTCCTCCCGTCATACCTCTCAAAAACAAGAGGATGTTTAAATCCTTTAAGTTATTTCTCGCAGGAAAAAACTGAAAAAATCATCCATTTCATTATTCACTACTGTCATCTGCTTGTAATATAGTACCAACGGAGTGATGCTTTAATTTGTATTAAGGGAAGTCAACCTGACTTTTGCCAAAACACTGGCCTAAGTGTTTTAATTAAATTAACACTGAATCCTCTTAAAAAGCCCTTATTCTTAGAAGGCATACTGCTGAAGACATTTAGTGCGTGAAGACATTTTGTGTAAGTGTGTCCTACATCATGTTAAGACCAACAGTGATGCCATTTGGTTTATAATTTTTTCTTTTGTGTAATTTAGGAAAATTCTATTTTCATTCCTTAGTAGCAAATGTTGTATTTCTTCAAAGACGAACAGACAATGCTTCCGTTGGCACTAAAAGAATCCTCCCACAGAGTGCACATAGTGTACATTCAATTTTATTTTTATCAATGCTGAAACACAGCCAGTAGTGGTAACAAAGCCCACAGACTGTAGAAATTTGTTTGAGACTGATTCAGTAGAGTTGTGTGAAAACCACAGTGCTAACAAGGCACTCTGGTAGTTCTAGTATATTCTGTCCTGGGTCACACTCTGACACCCATTGCTTTTAGACTAGTTCCTGCTTTCTCCTCTGCGACTCTATTCAGTTGAAGATTAGCAGCACACAGTGGCCAGTGACTGCATTTTTTTTTTTTTAAAGAAGCTGGAAGGTCTTTTAATCCTGAGAGGGTAACTTTTGTTCACGTTAACCTTTTTAGGCTAAGAACTAACACTTCGTTATTGAGCATACCTGCTGCATGACAATTAGTCACGTAACGATGCACGCAAGTGCTGCAGCAATTGCCCCAAATACACTCTGGCTCACACTGCAACAGCACAGCTGTAATATGTGGTTTTGCAAACTTATTGCTTTAAAGAACAGGTTGGTCCCTGCAACAGACATGAAAGCCTCCTCACCTTTCCTCAAATTACAGTCTTTTCTGATTAGGTGTATCTGGTTATTGCTGTGGAGGTCAGGTTTAATGGAGAGTTGGAAATTAGCCATGCAAGCAGCTATATGACAGTCTGAATGAACTTTCTCAAGAGGGCAAATCCTTCCACACAACCACCTACCAGGCTTCTTTTGAAGGGAAAAATACATTAAAAGAAATACCTGAATGAGACAACTAGGCCCACAGTATGGTCACAGTTTTACCAATAAGTAGGTGGTGGTTTTTTGCTCTCTTTTAAAAGCTGAGG